GTTTCCAAATAACGATAGTAATAAAGTAACGTTACTAATACATTAACTGACTGAATATAATAAATCAAGAGCGGCCATCAAAGCGGTGAATATCAATAAAACCGTGGAAAGGAAAAATAACTAGCGGTTCGTTTTGAAATGAGTTATCGGATACGGAGTATAGATCCAAGAGATAGAAAATACAAAGATATTAAACCAAATCAAGATTAATTAGTTGTAATGGAAGCGTGATTATATATGAAATAATTTTGTATTTATTTGTCTAAAAATAAGTTATTTGGTTAAAGTTATATATAAAGGTAACGAATCAGGTTCCGGATCATATTTTTTTACAGCTCATCGGAATGGAGATATAATGAAATAAAGGTAAAAAGGGTACTGAGTTTTGTTAGTGAATAGCCACAATTTCAGGAAAGAACTGATTAATGACAAAAAGATGTTAGATGCGTTACATCGTACAACAAAGTATATAGTGCTTTGTCATACAAATTATGAAGTTATTACAAAACAAATAGTGGGACATAATCATGTCCTAGGTAGAACATTCGGTAGATCCTATAAAAGTAATTAATAAAATATAGGATCCGAAGGCTTCATTAGTAGAAATAACACATCGAATCGTATCTACGATATATGAAAGTTTGTCATATGTAATATTAACTCAGCCTCCAGAAGCAACTCGAATGAAGCAGGCAGTTTGGAGTACGATATAATCATCGGGAGCCCTTATAACATCCAAGTTCATTGGATCCACATCTTCAATTTGAATACAAGACGACCGTGAGAGGGCAGAAGTTCTTCTTACACCACGGCGGACTGGGTGGGAAGAAATACTAATCTTTACCACAACTCGAAATCCAGGATGTTTGGTGTAGTGTCCTCGTCAGTATGCCAACGGAACACTCGAGACCTTGCCGCCTTTGTTTAATTAGGTCCACATAATTCATGGTATGAAATTCAGTACGATTTAACCCTCAGCCTATATTTCCAATTATAGAAAAAAGCATGGGAATCCGTATATGTGCATCTTTAACAAATTGAACGGATGGTCCCTGACTTTAAATCCATCAGTAGTCGGGAATGATTACGAATAATCTGCGTCATCATCACCAGCCGAGAAATACCTTCGAATATAGTACAACAAAGTTGCTTGTCCTATTTGAGCTAGTGTATCGGTTGAAGACTATAACAACCAGCAAACCTTCGACAACACTGTATAAGAAATGAAAAATTTGTTTTGTAGACCCATCGAGTGGTAGCATTAGCTTAATTACCAGTTGCAAATGCCGTATCTGTACTTAACAATCAAACTGAGTCGCAATTCTACGTAGATAGTGAAGAAGAAATCAAGGTATTAATAACTTATTTTCAAAGTACTTGGATCGAGTGACCACTAAAACGCGAAGGCTGAGGAGTTTCAATTTCCGAATTGCACTATGGGAAGTCAACAGTTCTATTCGGGAGGATCCTCCAGAAACAAACAGTGGGATAAAAGGGTGACACAGGCTTTAACCATCTCGTTAACGCTGAACACCCAGCCTTATGGAGATTCAGTAATGCTCTAAAACAAGGAACAGGAATCGAATGAATTGAAGGTCGAACAGTTCGATTCACGAACACGACATCACATGAATAAGTACTGGGAGGGAGCATCATACATTAAACTAGTTGTAGACGATTATGAAGAGACATATACTAGAACGTTCTCGCGAAATATCACACAATTTTAATTTACGCATTGAGATATATATACATATGAATTACGTCAAAAATTACTCTTATGGTAATCGCTCTTGATTTACTTAGTTTATATAATGGAGACATTATTTCATTGTATTCTTGAATCCTCCAGTAGGAAGGGGTCATCATAAAATGCTGTCAGGCCAGTTTTTGGTACAAATAATTGATATTAAGTTTGTAGAACGAAACCAAATACATGTGAACTGCAGTACATAAGGTAGTAAGTAAAGATTCAACCATTCACATGGTAGTAAGCATGACATAGAACTACTATTTTGGGGGAAATTTATCCTTATCACTGACTTGATAGTGATGACAAGTAGTGTCAACAAGAACCTACCGACTGATAAAACTGGCAATCAATAAACAGAAGCGGAAAACTCATCCTTACATTCGTTAACCATTGGTCGGTAAACATCGTAACTAGTTGCAGTAACGTTTATTTTCCTATTTCCTAAACCGTGAATTTACCGCTATTCCATACTTTACAGTTAACAACCTAATTTATTTTTCACACATACTTAGCTCCCTATTGGATTTAATATTAATTCTTCCCATGCTTTCCATCTAGTTAATCTCTTGCTGCACTAATTCGAAACATGAAATGATGTAAATTCATGCCAGGTCTGATATTGACTATGACTAACTTAGACTTATCAAACGGGTTCCTTCCTCTTTCAAAGGTATAGATATATTGACAGGATTACCTGTTTCTGGTATGTTGAATGAGTCGTAAACTTCTTTCAAGGTATATATTGGGTTGTGATTACGTCCACAAACGTTTAAATCTCAAAAACTGGTCTCATATAGTAACCATGAACAAGTCCATGTGCACAGATCAGATGTATATCACGCCAGAACTAGTGATAATAGCAGGTAACCCAAATTAAACTAAGCAGAACAGTTTGAAACTACACCTAGTACTCCAGAGTGAAGGTTCATTTTAATTGCGCAATACAATACCCATATGCTTTTTTCCAAAAATTGGTTACACGACTATAAGACGTTTACGAAAAGTCTAGTGTATATTATCATAACTGAGAGGAAAACAGGACTACAATGTCTCAAAATTATCAAAATCAGTACAAGTAAATGATCTATTGAAGTCCACTCAAACATGAACCAAATCTTTCTCTCTTCCACTTTGAGTAGGATGATAATGAAAATCGGTTTCGGTCCTAGTCACTCAAGTTAACCAATGGACGTATCCCACAAAACAATTATTTCAGAAAACCTAGCTGTTTTTGAAATAATAACTCTATACTCAAAAAACATGTTTATGAAGATTTTTTTTCCTTAAAGATCATTTACATGATGTATTGCCACGAACTAAAAATAACTAGGAAGTCGTTTTGTCCTGGTTTGGAACACTACAAGAATACTTCCTAGCGGTTCTATATCCGATGAAATCAATGTTGTGAAACGAAAAAACACCATACAGCTACTGGGTAGAGATCCAATGACCTTTATTATTCGACTTTCTTCATACAGGCACATAACATAACCCAACTCATTTCTGTTCCGATTGACTTTAAGAAATACCATTTCGAACCGGAACTCTGATACAAAAATCACATAGTATATCACTATCTATCTAGGCAGTTAGTTTTTATCTACCATTTAGCTTAACTAATGGCACTAATTAAGCATATTCATTTTGTTTTTAATGGCGATTAACTTAACCACTCATCATTTAAACTAGATTTTTTGGCAGACCATTTTTATTACGCGTGAATCGATGCAAACTAGCACGAAACAAGTGTTTGGTGAGAATGATGTTCAACTTCCGCCATTAGTTGCTGTATACAATAAGTCTACCTCATTACTATAATTTTTGTTATTTAGTCCCATAAAACCATTTCTATGTTCATCGTTATTTTGGAAATATTAGTCCAGACATATAGAAATGAATTTTTAAAACAGAGGTTGGATTATCGCTAAGCAACATAACTTGTCCAATTAAAAGAGATTCTATTTGCAAACACTGTAAATAGTGGAATGCCAAGAGTGCAATTAGTATAATATAAGTGTACTACTCATGAGTAACTAAACTTTATTAATCGTATAATCTCTTTTCTTATATTTTTTTGATCAGTAATAAACCAAGTGTTTTCTTGTTATTGATACATCTTTTGTCCGTCCGGACATACTGAACTGTTTATTTCTGCAAGTTTTTGTACTGACTTGAGTAATTAAGTGGAGCCTATCATCCCGAATGAGAATTCTAACTTAAGCTAATGATTAATTATTGTAGGACCATCTCTAATTTGCGTATATTTATATATAAATATTCCGAGCGACCAAAATGGTATTTTGATTCTGAAAGACTTCGAATATGTTATTCTGGTGAAGCTAACAGTAGAACTAGATTACTTGTGTTATGTACCTAGAGAACGGCACAAATACTGGTGATTTAATAAAACCACATTGTATCAACTGTGATTAAGTTGAAATAAGAAATTATCTCACAAAAAATTGACGCCCGTGTAGCAAAAATCTCTTTGAGTTACAAAACGATTTTGGAATTGAAAGGCTGGTGATGTTTTATAAAACAAGTAGGAATTGACTTATCAGCTACTGTATTTCGAATTATGACTTTAACGCAGAATTATGAGAATGTGAACTATGAAAGCTAAAGTATAAACTGAACCATTAAAGTTCACAGTAAACTTCAAGCGGAACTTTACATATTCATTATACCCAGAGGCATATACTCTATTCAACCCAAAAAACCCAGTTATTTTTACAGAAAATAATTATATAACCTGACATCAGTGTGCGAGATCAATGCTATGCTTACAAGATAGTGATGAAAAATAACTAACGTTCATAAATTCACAAATAGTACTGTGAGTATGAGAAGACGTCTATAAGTCGGTCAATTTCATGCTTGAGGAAACAACTCAGTGAGTAAGGAATAAAGCAACAATAAACAACTTAGTTTAGACTCCCCAAGACTTTATAACGATGAGTTTAAGTTTCAACGTCGGTATTCAGTAGGAACACGGAATATAAATTAAACCACAAGTAATCACAAAATTACTAATAAGTATGGTGTGTCATGATGAGGACACAACAAACTCGTGGACAAATGAACTGATGTGAACAAGATAAACTACTAAGTGACTAACCCAATAGGATAAAAAACATACCAATATAATTCATGAATAGTATTTGATGAGATTGAATAAAAACGGAAGATATCTGAAGGTAAAATAAGTATTTATACAAATATTCTGAAAGTATATAAATCTTTATATTTAAAGTCGACTGACTAACATATTAACATGTGGATATAGAGAAAGTAAATTATTATCCACTGATAATGAAATGGATAAACTCGACTTTATTTTGTGTTTTGTTTTCCATAAGTGACGTAAACGTGCCCACAAACCAAGAGCCATGTAATCTATGCGCATATCAGATGAAACATCAGGCCTCATAAGAGGTCTCCACATTATGTATATTCGTCTGTAATAGGAAAATATAAAAACACCGGGACGTTTTGTATAAGTCACAAGCAAAACTGATATGTAAATAGGTTTACACAATTTACATGACATCACTGATTATGGAAACCAAATGATAAGAAAGAGAATGGGAGTATTATGAGCAAATAGATTTTACGAGAACCACAGGATTACTATTGCAATAGCATTGCATTTTGAACTTCATGGATTTTTGTTCTCAATACTTATGTACAGTAAAAATAAAACATAAATAAACTGTTAATATTTACATGAATTCTTTTTATATTGGTACAAACTGGTACTTGTATCAGTCTTATGCCACAACCCCGATTGGATGGAAATTTTACCAACTAACTACCCACACAAAACTTAATTCGAAAGAATCTAGCACTATACGGCTGATATGAAAAATTAAGTGGTATATGAACTTAAACTTTTTTCACCATTCGAATCAAAGTAGTATTTCATGTTATATTGCTATCTTACAACTAACACACAGGTAAAAAGTTTAGGTACCGTAGTGAACCAAAAAGAATTATATTCGACTCATGTATATCCAGAAAGCACTGTAAAACATCAGGAAATTTACACGCAACCTCACATTGATGTTGTTGAAGTAATCACCAAACAAGTAATATTTAGGTGGTCAAGGGCGATAGGCACAAAACTTTGGACATCGGTATTGTGCTAGCGGGTACAAACAAACAAGTTGCATCCATATTTTAAATAGACTGATGCACTCTCAGAGACCCAAACCTGGGTCATCTAGTGGTGCAGTCGACTTTACAGTTAAATTGTATACGTGACGAGATTTCTTGAAAATTACATAATATTTTGAACTGAACTTATTAGATTGTATGTAGCCAAAGAGAAATAAATAAAGTGAATTCATTTAGTTCTAAGAATACTGTTATTCTTGCTTTGCTTGTGAGGGAAATCAATCGCATCAACATTTTCTCAAAGAACATCAGTTGATTGTTAGCAGCTTTTTTGTAAATGCAGTAACTTAAACCAATGTATCGTAAATCTAAAATCTACGTTATTAAACCACAATAAACTAATTAGATATATTACATCATTATAAAGAACATGGTGGTGTGCTGACATTTGCCAATTTTCCCCGACTACGAGACACGAGGTTACCACTATTTTTGACACAATAATTTGTCGGACTTAGACAGGTTTTGCTTTACGTTAAATGCTTCACAAGCCAACAATAACTTTTTCATGATGTTACAGAGGGACTCCATCGATTCTAAAGATTAAGGACATACAACTAACACTTTCCAAGGGAAATTTACGACAAGGGTAAGAGATGTTTATCTTCAGATTCTGGGGTTTAGGACCAATCATGTCTTCCAACCTATTTGTTGCACATTACATATGATAGAGTATTGTATCTTTTGAAATCTGCGTGATGTGAAAATTCTTTCATTTACTCTCACCTTCCTCACCCAAAGGGAAAGCTGCAACAAAAACAAAGTAAATTTAATAAGATTACACTGGCCAATTTTTCTTGACATTCTGAATGTCTGATCTTAATAACATTTATGACAAAGCTAAAAAGTACATTACCAAGCCTACTCATAGCCTTTGAAGTCAGAAGTAACGCAGAATATTATCTCAAAACATCAGGAGATAGTAAGGAGGGCAATAAAGTAAGAGAGCATATACAGAGCAGTGGATAAGTAGCCAAATATAGATGTCTATTAATACTTAAGACACATTACCTAGCCACGAGTTTTTATGCAGTGAAATCTGAAGAAGCTAGGAAGAATTAGACAAAAAGAAGTAACCAAGTTAATTAATACTTGCACTTAGTAATAGAATCACTAATATTACAATATGTCAATAGTTGACTGTGCATCAGAAAAAATGTAAGGCAACCTAAATGATACCCATCTTTATGGTTCGTTCAAAACAATTTGTTTTAACGCAGCTGGGATATAAGTACACCAGCATGAGTAGCAAAACCAATAGTCTTAACAAAAAGCGTTGTGTGTAGAAATACATGAATTATCATACTTGTCAGTGACTTTCTTGCGATGTTTAGGTAAGCAATTTTCCTATAACTATAAAACTAAATGAAATAAAAACACCGAAAATCCCTGTTGTATCTACGACTGTGAAACCAAATCTAATGAAAAAAAGGAACGCGGATTGCTACGTCTAGATAGGTAATGTCAAACAGCAGTAAATTTTTAATACCCATTAACAACATGGGGATCTTTTATTAGATAAACAGTCGGGTTATAAATAATTGAAGACGTTCAAATTCGGATAAGGATAACAGATGGATCGATAACACAAACGACCCACTTTGCAGGTAAATAAATAGACAGCAGTTAACAAAATCAATTAGTCGGTGACCAACTTAATTTATTACAGGCAATCATGATCTGGGAACAGATTTAGAGTTCATACCAAAAATATAAAAATATGGGCTAGTGAGTACGTTCATAATAGTAAATAGTTCAAAAGTAGCAAACGCATTGACACACATTATCACAATTTAATGGAATCAGGAAACCTAGATACCAGTTTATATAAATAAAGTTGTGTTACCTCAATATTTTAGCAGAATTTTTCAAATATCCTCTCTGCATTAAACTTTGAGCAAACCAAAGTTGGGACTTAGCTAGGAGAACAGGCGAGTTGATTTCTAACGCAAGGCTCATTTGAAAGAGTGAGACCGTCCCAGCCAAACTCGCCTACTTGAGTTAGGCAAAAATATTACTTTACCGCATAATCACTGTGATCTCCAAGTGAAGAATATCCACCACCAAGTGTAGAAAGCCATGCCATGGATTCTTCGATTACAATTGCCTTTACCAGACGACTTATAACAACTTTCCACCTTGTACAGAATTATACAGAAAATTAGCTTACATTGGGTTATCACATAATGTTCGTTCATACTGACATGGAAGGAATATAGCCGGTACGGTTTTAAGATGCCTGAGGTAGCGAAGTAGGCAAGCAGCAAAAACCTGATCCATGGAAGCATCGTACAAATACTGAAATTCCAGCAAGTTTAAAGAGAAAACATTTTTCACTATCCGATATGCATGGGTGGAGTGTGAGTTCTGTTTTTCTTGAATAGTCAAATCGTGTTTATTTGATTCACAGTTATCATAAGGATAGGTACTACTTAGACCACGTAACTTACACTCTGGTAGATTTACAATACGAATTGATGTGGCGTAACATACGATCGCAATCATGTGAGCCTCAAGGCCAACTTGTCAAAATCAAAACAAGCGCAGGTAAGTGTAAGTGTACCTATATTTTTCAGATACAGATTTGTGTAGTAAAGACAGGAGGACTACGGCCTGTGTTATTCCACTTGTAGTATTTTTTGCGGGTGTATAGCCTTATCTTGAATGAGTCAATTGAAGGTGCGGACATCTCTGATTCGGGTAACAAGTTCCATTAACTGATCACTCGGTGTAAAAACCTGGATACCACAGGTATTTTCCCCGTTCTTGACTCTCCTGCTCGCCTGCTATGTCCTCCGAGATGTCCCAATCTAATGGAAAGGTAAAGAGAGGATATATTAGGTTCAAAATCATTCCTTAGTACTCAATACATCAAAATCAGATCACCTGCCAGTTTTTGGTAGGAGAGAGTAAAGAAATCTAGTCTTTCTCACAGCTTTTTATGTGGCAAACTTCGAAGTCCTTGAATTGCCGGGGTAGCTGCCCCCTCTACGTTTTCCAGGATATCTGAGTCACCTTTCAAAGAGGCTTGCAGTCTGAACGCAATTTTCAAGTTTGGTTCTCACTAAGATTATGTATACTTTAGTGAGCATGATGGCATAAAACTGGGTATCTGTCCGTCCCTAAGCCTTGGGTTTTTTAACCCTTTAGCTGGAACCTCCCTGCAATGGGCAATGGTCTTAAGATCATGAGTCACGGTTGCCCTAAGATCGTTGTGAGACCGGACCATGTGCACAGGCACTTTCCCTATGCTGTATCTATTTACTTTTGTATCCATACAGTGCAGGTAGATACACTTTTCCGCGCTGATAGGCATCAGCCACTCTTTAAACCAGCTAATCACAATATTCAAGTCTGCCTGATGTGCACATGTATCTGTGTCTCCTGTTATTTCCCACCAGATTTTTGCATCGCCAGCGTATAATAACATTAAGGGTTGAACCACTCTTTGGAGATCATTTACATACAGTTAAAAAGTGAAGTATCTAGGACAGAACCTTGAGGTACTCCACTACGTACTGATCTCCAGATAGAGCACTTCGAACATACTCTAACTTTCTGTCTACGACCTACGAGGAAATCCCTAAGCCATTCTGGGAGAGGTCCAGCAATCCCAAGCTTTTCTGGCTTTAATAGCAGTCTATTTGTCCGAACCTTGTCAAATGCTTTGCTGAAGTCTATGTTGACAACAAACAATGATTTTTCATTGTCTAGAGCTTTTATTCATTTCACTGTTGCTATAAGGAGGTTTGTTGTTCAAGATAAACCTTTTTCTGAAATCACGTTGCTCGCTGTTTAACACGTTTTTGGTTTCCATAAATGTCAATGATCCAAACGTTTATCAATTCTTTCGCTTAATGGGTTTGAAAGTCTGGTCGCCAATGATGATCGTGGTACTTCGATAGAAAAATTGGTAAACAAAACAAAGAGAAGTAAAGGAAGTTGTCAAATAATGCAAATAAGAAAAAAATGCTATGCTTGCATAAGCCTGTAGATTCGACATTAAATGAAGCAAAATGAGAATTTTGTAATATCTATATCAGTCATTAATCAATGTAAATGTACAAACATATCAGGAACACGTGTGCCGACACAACCCGTGCTTCTTAGTTGAAATGTGCAAGTCAGCTTGTGAAAACTGCAATCAAACATTCAAAGGGAGTAGTTTCGTAAGTGAACGAAAGTACTGCCAAGAACTCCATATCGAATTGCAGAATGGAGTGTGTGACGGACTATGAAGAAGCGCCAGTGTAAAAGAGAAACGATGGCGAATCACTTCGAGTCGGATTCTACTCCAAAACCTCATTTCGACCCTGGGGTACTCTCAGAAATAATGCCTCATTCCGACTGTTCATTGTGCACGTGGATTTATAAGTACGCGCCGACGTGCCTAGATGCAATAGATCTTCCTTGACACATCCGTAAAAGATGGGCCGATATGGAAAAAAGGTGTGAGGCTTAGCGGCGTAAAAAGACTTCTTTGAAAATTACATCAGACGGATTTGGTGTTCATAGGGCGAGTTTCTTTTGGTACTGTATAAACTCTTGTATGGAGGGTGTTTATAAACATATTGATGCCCCTCACAATAATTTTCAAAATTTCACTCAACCAGAGGGAAGTACCTTTGCACCACAAATATATTATGGCTACCAGTGCCTTCGAGATGGAAAAGAAACGAAATCAAACAAGTTATAGGCCTGCAACACATAAAAGTGTGAAGATGCCACAGGTATTCGGAGTTTGAAAACGCTTTAACCAGTAACATCTTATATTATGAAGCGTACCCACCAAGTGAAATCAAAAGACAGAAGCGAGGAGATTCGGAGATATATTTGAAAGGCTATCAATATATCGGGGATCGTCTGATCTAATCTGGCTAGCAGTTTCAGGGGTTGTTGAGCACGGCGTTCCCATCCGTGATCTGGTGCGTATGCATGACCGAGAGCCTTTAGCTTGGTGAGTCCATTATGACTAATGTGGTCAGCATCCAATGATGAAAACTTACAGAGCTATTTATTTTGGGGACCTATTTACCGCTACAAGTGCGTTGGTGAAGATATTGGGACTATCACAAATCCTATTTGCCTAATCCTCAAATCATGCGTATGTAAATTTTTATTTTGTGTGTGTTGAGAATGGAATCAAACATCCCTAAATGATTGCGTATGTTTCCCGATCACTTGTTGCTGCTCTCTCTTCAAATTTATCTTTCAGTCGAATATATTTGAACACAAAATTACAGAATATCTTTGTAAAATTTGAGAACCATACAGTACATAATTAATTTGCTAAATCTCAATCAGTTGTCTGAAAATTAACTGTTCCTTTTGCAAACGACAACCAATCATTTCCATTGCAATCATTCATTGTTTCTCGTTCTCTTTTCATCGATCTTCTTAACCTTCTGCTACCAGGTACTTCACTCTCGATTGATGATACACACAACTTATATCTATCGACATCAGTAGCACAGACAACAGTATTAAAAGTAGGTTAAAGGAATAGTGTGACAACCACCTAATTAACCAGTTATAGTATTCTAATTATAGTATGAATTAGGAATTCCAGGATTAACGCAATTGAATTAAGAAGACACAGGCACAACGAATGTACTGTATTTAGAATTCGAAATCAAACATTCAACCAGTACAAAGGTATCATTGGTTCATTCAAACACCATATCCGCCACAGCTTAAATTGGAGTCTAGGTGTTTGTAATCAATCGTACGTCTTCTTCTCAAATTCATCCTGAGTCTGTCTGACATTGTATTGGATAAGGATTCTGTATTATCTAGAATATGCTCATTAGCATTAGAATTAACAATCGAAATTGGAACTGACTCACCTGGTTCCTGAAATTGTATTTGATCAACATGTCGACTGTGTGTACTTGAGTCACTGACGTCTAGAATTCGCACCATCGATTTTCAGACATTCTTCAGAACAATACCCGTAGATGGTCGAAGATCATTTCCCCGATAGTATGTAACTTCTGCAGACTCCAAACATCTCATATTCGACAGAAGAATTATTCCTTTCACTAACTTCGCTGGAGTCTTCTTCATCACCGAATGTCAGGCATTTCTATATTGCAAAAGAAAGGTATCTACTCCCCTCTCCAGCTCATTGAATTTTGAGGCGGCTATAGAATCAATAGCAGTCTTTAATATCGTGACAAAATTCTCTGCTTGACCATTAGAACACGGATGTCTGGGAGCAGTAAACAGATGTTTGCACCATATAACGTTCGACCAGGTAGTGACTGCATCTGCAGCAAAGTGAGAGCCATCATCAGTGACTAACACCATAGGAACCCCTTCTCGACCAAACACCTTTCTTAATGCTTAGATTGTGAAATCAGAATTTGGTGAAGTTGTAAAAAAAACTTCAGGCCATTTTGAAAAAGAATCAGTAACTACTAGTGCATAGTATTTGCCAAGAAACGAACCACAATAGTCAGCATGAATTCTCTGCCAGACCTCAGACGATAATCGCCATGACGTCCACTTCGAAGGATGATTTTTCAACTAATGACACTTCTCGCAATTGTTTGCCGTACGACATATATCTGCATTTATCTCTGGCCACCAGCATGTGAGCCTTGCCAAGGACTTCATTTTCTCAACACCTAAATGACCACTATGAAGATCTTCAAGAACAGATTTACGCAATGAAGGAGGAATGACAACACGATCGTTTAAACACAGAATACCATCAGGAGTAGTAGATAACTCATCCCGCTTTGAAAAATAGATAGGAAATCTCCGTTTCAAATTAGCATTCCAACCTTTCCTTATAGCACTGAGTATACATCCAAAATATCTACGAGTTTCTCTAATGAGATCTGAACGTCTCACTGGTAAAGGTTGCACTAACAAACAATCCGAAGTATTAATAGGTTTATCTTGTAATGACTGTCGAGAAATGTAATCAAAATGTTGAATCTGTTTGGCACTTCTGTGCTGAACCGTATAGTCATATGCACTCAAAGCAATACTCCATCGCTGAACCATAGCTGCTGAGGAACGTGCTAAGGATTTTTCGGGATGATAAATAAACTTTAAAGCTTCATGATCAGTAACAATAGTGAATTTCTTTCCGAATAAATATTTATGAAGTCTTTTAACAGCCCAAAACACAGCTAATGCTTCTCGCTGAGTCTGTGAATAACCTTGTTCAGTAACAGTAAGTTTGCGTGAAACACAAATAACTGGTCTACCTTCCTGTTCCAAAACTGCACCAATTCCCACAGGTGATGCATCAGTAATAAGCACAGAATGTACATTAGGGGAGTACGTTCGAAGAACAGCATCACTTTGAAGAAACTTCAGCAGACTTTGTAAGCATGACTCTTGTTCCTCACTCCATTTGAATGAATTGGATGTTAAAATATTAAATAAACAATTTGCACGACAAGAAAAATTAGGAATAAAACGGGAATAGTATTGAAGAGCACCCACTAGTGAACGTAATTCTGTAAGATTTTTCGGAGACGGTGCATTAG